CCCCCCCCCCCAGGCGACTGCTCTCCCTTTAGTGCATGGCCTTTCATTCTCTTTCCCAAACTGATAGCCATTTAGGGTACCTCCCTGTTCCCTCACTAATCCTTTTATTGAATATATAATAAGCCATAGGTCTAAGGGAAGTTGGGAGGTCCAGTGATGGCAAAACTCACCGTCAACATGCTGATATACTGTGAAATGTTTACAAAACTGATGTCTTTTTCTTTTAAGATAACAGGGGCCTCACTGATCAGGGTAGGGTAGAACAATAGAAGAGGGGATTCTCCCACATGCCGATGATGCATTTGGGCTTTTCACGGGGGGCTCCCGCCATTTGCCGTATTATAGTTAGGGGGACTTCTGTTGTGCGAAACCATTGATTCTTCAGCTGTTCCACTCTCTAATCATGAGACGCTAGAGAGACTGTTGAGACCAGATGCGGTAAGTTAGCAGCAGAGGATTTCAGACTCAAGTCATGCAAATCACAGAAGCATTTAATGGGCAATGTATATCATAATGCTTAGCCTCACACCTTCCACCCATCTGGCACCCTCAAAAAGATGACGTGTTTGTCCCTGGGGGCATGTCCATCACCATTTGTTTCATTTCAATTGATGATGAGGAGGAGGAGGAGGATGATGATGATGATGATGATGATGATGAAGAAATAACCACAGATCACTTTTCAAAGATCAGACCCACAATCTTGTAGAAATATCTCTAGGGTGTGCCGCAGGGTCGAAATCAAATAAGTCTCTCTGAATCAATGGAAAACTGCAGCCTTAATTCATTTTAATCAGAATAGACAGGGAAATAAAGGGGGAGGGCAAGGGGGAAAGGAATGAAGGGGGAAATAAGGAAAAGGAAGAAAAGAGTGGAAGGTATTTACTGAAAATCTAAGTTTCAAAAGAAAATTAAACAAAGAATCTTAGACAAAACTCAGGGGCAGGTGGAGATTTTGCACTGTGACAGATCGTTCATATTAATTTCGCATTTATAAACTGTTTGTTCCTTAACACAGTGGCCCATCATAAATATTCATTCAATGAATCCAAGTTTATTTTCAGCTCCTACAGCTGGGCTTGGTTTGGGGCTTTGCACCATGTAGGTCAAAGAGATCAAGCTAGCTGTTCCTCTTCGTCTCCTTTGCCTTCCCTGACCGGATTGCACAGGCCTCTGCTGTCGTTTGGGGACCTTGTCTACCAGAAAGGATGTTCCAGAGACAAGGGAAGTGGCTCCTAAATTTATCATGGAGATGGCTCTCCTCCCTCCTCAGAGACCCTGCTTCATTCAAGATGACTGCTGCTTAGCAGGATGCTAGGAGAGACAGAGCTGTGGGTGTGGTCCTTCTCTGTTTGCCACAACATCATTGTTTGCATTAAGTATCTGTTGAGTCGTCTCTTCATCCCACACACTCTGAAGAGGAAGTTGTAGTGCAGGAGGAGGGAGCCCAGGACACTTCCTGTGAGGCTGTGGGGAGGTGCAGTGGCCTTACCTCAGCGTTAGCCTTATCAGGGGCGCTCTCAGTTTAAAGGCACCAGCTCCTGCCACAGCCGCAGCTGCAGGGGCCTAAGGTAGGGCATGGGTAGCACAAACGAGCTGGACTAGCGCTGGGACAAGTCATTTCGCTCTTGAAGACTCAGTGGGCCTTTTAAAATCGATTAATAGAGCTTAGAGGACAGCATGTCTGTTGTCTGGTTGGAAGAGCAGCCTGAGGCCTGACTGTCTCTTGCTTGCGCTTTAGCACAACTGAGCAGAAGCCTTGATCACACGTTAGTCGCATGGGATATGTGAGACAAGGCACCGGACGTGAGGTTTCTCCCCAGTCCTGTCTCTGGCGTCGATGTAGGTGGTGACAGAATGTGAACCAAATCTCACTTTTGTAACATGAGCCTCTGAATCTTTATCGAGGATGTTCCAGAAGAGCCTTTTCCTAGAATGTCCTTCTCAAACAGGTCTATTTTTCTACAATTATTGATAACACAGTTGAATGGTGTTTTTTTGTGTCAAAATTGTTAAAAATGTAGAACTTAAAGGAGTCAATTAAGACCGAGTGTTCTAAGCAGCATGTGTTGAATGGTGTTTCTCATTTAGACAGCTCAACAAAGATGGTCCCACAATTCCTACCCTCTCTATTCCACAATACCCAGTCCTCAGTTATTCTGATAAGCAAAGCAAGTGCTACAGAAATAAATAAGCAACACAACCACATCCGTAACTCACACAGGACACCCTCAGCTTGGTATTTCCACCTGTTTGGTTGGTGTATTTGAGTCACATTTCCGTAACAGTAAGACAGGATTCTTGAGATTGATGAGAATTCTGAACTTAAAGGAGCATGGCTGCCAAGATGGAGCCAAAGCTGACAGAGCAGAGTGTTCCTGGGGTGACAGAGCTTGTTTAGGTGGAAGCATTCCCCTTCCAAGGATTGCTGGGTCTTGCAACGTGCTCCCAACTTACTCACTTATAAACCATCTTTATGTAACTAATAAAGTGAGTTATGCTTTTTGCTACCTGCTGAGTGAATATATACTCTTTTGCAAATTAATGCTTTTCTATTTCTTTTAAACATGGCATTCATGCTTAGTTGCCCAATATATTGCCTCTCTATGTCCTTGAGAGGGAACCCTCTCTTCATTCACTCCTTCCTTTTATTCTTTCTCTAACTCTCCCATCCCAAATCTAATGATTCCGTTCAGCATCATATATTCCCTATTAGAATTCCAGCTACCATCTCTAAAGGGTGTCCACCTGTTTCTCAAGCACAATATTCTCTTGTAGATTTAAAGAAATTAGGTCTCTGAAATGTGTGTTTTTCATTACATGCTAATTTTTTTAAAACATTATTTAGGTCTTCATTTAAAATAGTTATGTCCCCAGAGCAACTTTCTTCTGTTTTCTTCCTTTCCCACCTTTTCTGCATTTCAAGCGTCTTGCATCCTGTCCCACCATTCAATTTAGGTTTAAAGTCAGCACCTTTGGGATGCTCAGAAACTATTTACAAAGGGGAAATTTGGTGGACAGAGGGAAAAGTAAAAGAAAAAAAATACAGCTAGAACACTTCCTGAGTGCACTTGAAAAAAACATGAGAAAGTCCTAGCAAGTCACTTGCAAGGTAGCTTGCCAATAGTCTAACTTTCAGTCTTTGTTTCCTTGACTTGAGTGATATGCTGTACTATTCAAAAGAGTTGGGACAGTCATTGAAAATAGATATCCTACATATGTGGTAAGCTTTATCTTCTATGACTACTTCCTTTCAATGAATGGCTATAATGTAAAAAAATAAACAAAATAAGGATACATGATTCACTGATGTTATAATACAATATAAGATTATCTTGTTTTAGATTTTATGGACAAGCTGTATTTAAGAAAAATATTTCTTTTGGTTTAAAATTGAGTGTAACACACTCTTTAATTATATTTCTGCCCTTAGTGTTGTAGAGTGCTTTCAAAACTATCAGGTGGCGGCTAAGAGAGATTGGCAAAGCACAGTGTGTATAATAATAACTATGTTGCTCGACATGTGGTACTTTTGAGCATTCAGAAGACTTGTACAGACTATCTCATTTATCCTAATCCTCCCTGGGAGCTTGAATCCTCTCATTTTCATCTTGTAAATGGTGAAACAGGGGTTCAGACAAACTCAGCAACTTCCCCAAGGTTATTTAAGGTAGAGAATCATAGTAAATGGCAAGGCTCAAAGCTTTGCACTCTCTCTAGTACACAAAGGTCTTCAAAGTCTGTCACCTAAACTGGTCACTGAACGTTTTATACTGCTTGTGAGCTATGAATAATTTTTACATTTTTAGATTATTAAGGGGAAACATGAAGAGAATAACATTTTGCAAAGTGAAAATTAGATGAAATTTCTATTTTAGTGTCTATAAATAAATTTTACTGGAATACAGCCACATCCATTTCTTTCTATACCCCCTAGGGCTGCTTTCACACTACACTGGCCACAAGATTTGATGGCAATCAGACTAGCTGTTGCCAAGCTAGTTCCAACTCATGATGGTCTCATGCACGTCAGAGAACAACTCTGCTCCACAGGGCTTCCAATGGCTGATTTTTAGAAGTACATAAGCTATCCTTTCTTCTGAGAAGTAGACAATCAAGCCCTTTTCTCTAAGAAGCTTCTGGGTAAACTAGAACCTTCACCCTTTCAACTAGCAGTCAAGCATGTTAACCACCCAAAGCAAATACTTTTAGTAATGAGTAATTCCAATACAGATTCTATAGCCTAGAAAAGACTAAATAATTTACAACCTGGCTCTTTACAGAAAGTTTGCTAACACTTGCACTCTACTGCATACCATTAAGAGATTCATGGACAACTTAGAAGAATGACATTCTTTACAAGCAAAAAATTACTGGAGTTGCTCGTAGGTCAAGAAGAAAATGACACAAATTTTTATTACAGGGGCAACTGCTACACAGGACTTTAACGGCCCAGTAATACATCAGGGCTTCCAAAGAGAAAAATCTTTCCCTTTCATAGTTGTTACCCTAAACTGGTTAATAGTGTAAACAACCAACTCAAAAAGTGCTAAGAAAAATAAAACCCATTCAATGCCAATAAAGAAATGGGAATACTCAGTCCAATGACAGAGATATTGTTTCACTGCTGCCCATCGCATTTGACCACGTAGACAGCTTGGCCACCAGTCTCTCGTCAGTGGAGCTGGAGCTGAACTTACAGTAGCTGCCACAGAACCAGCCAGCCTCCTCTTACCCTATGGCTTCTCTCTTATGGGCAGTCTTGGA